TGCAACATATTATGCGCCACTGGGCAAGATTTCCCCAGATATTACATCTGTTTTATGACATCAAATAACATCACATCAGACACGTTAAGTTGGACATAAACAGAGAAATGGCTTCAGCTGCTTTTGTATCTTTGTCTGGTTCCTTTTCATTCCCTTCTCATGTTACTCATGTTAATAATGAACAACACAGAAACGTCAAAAAGACCCTCTTTGTGACAGGCATCACGGGAAATCTGCTCTTTGCTTTGAGAATAAATAAGTTACACAGTAATTATATGGATAATGGTGCACAAAATGCCCGTGAGTGATGATTTGGTGATTTACTGCTCCTAAGATCACCAGACAGCATTCAAATTAAAATGTGAACTTTTTAAAGCACCTTACTTATTAAGCATTGTTTTAAAAGCTTTTACATGATAACACATTGAGACATACTGCATTTATGAAAATGATTTAAATATATATATATTTTAATGAAAATTAGTCCAATTTTAAGCTTAATGCAAATCACCAAATCACATTATGACCTAATGAATGAGTTAGTTCATTTTAAACCCCCTCTAGTCTTCATCATCGCTCTCCTCTACTCTACTCTCTGCAAGTCCATCAGCTCCAGGACAAAGAGCCATAACCTGTCTTTCTAATTTCTCGGCTAACATCCTGTCCTCCACCCTGTCCTGTTTGACCCGTTCCTTTACCTTGCCAGCTGTCGTTGCAGACGCAGAGCTTCTCCCCGGTCAGGTCACAGTAGCCGTGATCAGGGCTGCCACAGTTGTCTCTGCAGTACGGGATGTCACAGGCTTCTCCTTTCCAGTACTCCTCACACTCACAGTACACACGGCCGAGCACAGAGTTGGCTGGACTGCACCTACCGTGGCCTGAACAGTTGTTGGGACATGAATTGACCCTGGAGGAGACACAGTAATGGAGGAAGTCAAGGATTACCACACAGCTTTGAGACACCATGGATGCCTTCAAGTCAGCACCAACTAACACAATTAAAGGGTTTGAACACACTTATTTTTAATTGGTTTTGGACAAAAGCATCTGCCATAATGTACCAAAGAGCCATGGTCCATATAAGAGAGTTGAAGCAAGACAGTTTTGATTTAAAAGAGAGAAATTAGAGGCACAGTTAGAATGCACAAAGGAGAAACCATTAGATATAAAGAACTAGGAGCCTAAATAGTGGGAAAAATTACATTTTGCATAAAGATTTTAACTGATAACAAAAAGCACTGACACACTAATGATCCAAACACTGAAATATCAGACAAATAGAGATGCCCAAAGAAGTGGAGAGATGGGAATAAAAGAGTCCAGGACCACAGGCAGAAAATCATCCTTTGGTCAGTATGAAAAGCTGGTTTGCAGCTGGACAAGATGGTTGTCATGACAACCGTTATCTCCTAGTGTGTGTGTGTGTGTCTGTGTGTGCACTTGGGGCTGTGGGACTGTGCACTAATTGACCTCACTCCTCCCATGTGGCCAACCTAGCCCCTACCATTCAGTGGCATGTCTGTGGGAAAGAGGACTGGGAAACAGAACGCACCATTTTCAGGCACAACGCCGCAGTGGGAAAGAGGACTGGGAAACAGAACGTACCACTTTCAGGCACAACGCTGCGTGTCCCAACCAGAGGCAAATCACAGCTCTGGTTTTTAGTGATACGAGATTTCACCCTGTCTAATTCGGGGTTCAGCACTCAGCTTCTTGTCTTTATCAATGTTCTGGTGTCAAATTGTCACAAAAAAAAAAAGCACAGTTTTTCTAATGGTTTTGTGTCTAAAGCCCCAGTAGGAATGAAACTTTATTCACAGTATGCTTAATACAAGTTGTATTGGGTTTGACCTCATGATGGCATCAACATCCCACTGTGTGTGTATAAATCTCTTTATAATAGCTTACTGTATGGAGACATGGTGACACAGCACCTGGGTGTCAGCTTTAATGTACTGATATTAGAAATGAAACTAGAAATGACTTGCTGAAAAGAAAAACCATTGACCTATAAGAAGCAGAACAGGTGAAAGTTCTCTGTCACTTCCTAACTGTGTGACCACTTTTACATCATACCATTAAGCCACTGTTAGTATAACAACATAGATCAGTGGGATTTAAAGGTGCTGCTTTGGAGACTACTGTTCACAAATTCTGTAAAACCTCTAAATAATGTCCATTTTTCTGTATGTGTTTAGTCTAGTCTGACCCTAAAACAGACAGGTAGACTTAGGAGAGAAAGGAAAAGGAGACTAGAGGAAGGGTGAAGGAGGGCGACGTCTAGACATACGAATAGGCAATGGTGAAGCCAGTCAGGTTGTAGGCAGCATCGCTGAAGAAGTGAAGCAGGGCGTAGCCAGACGTCGTCACTACCTCAGGGACCGTATCATTACCTGTGGCCTCTGGCACCACAAGGCCACTGAGAAGAAAGGTAAGAGACAGAGAATGAGACAAAAGATACAGACATCCCCTCCCAACATAAATGAATAAAAAGCATTTTGACTGTGGTGTGAAAGCACCATGAGGTCACGGCTCCGTCTCAGGGACTGCAGCCTCGCTAAAGCTATGACAGTGATTAGCTGTAAAGTAAAATAAAACTACAGCACAGACTCATATCACATTTCATTTTGTATGATTTGGCCCTTTCATATTTGGCTAATAAATGCAATGCACTCTCCCATAATGAATGTGAGTCAAAGCCTCCTCCCTGACACAACTACAGCTTTTATTTTGAACACATGTACTGTATGCACCAAACTATTACGACCAGTGCACGCTTATTTAATGCATCTAATAATGTTACACCAACGTAAGCTTTTTATATTGACCATTCCAATGCCAATTTTTCTTGCTTGAGATAAGCCTCAGTGGAGCAGAGGAGAAAGTGGGAGGCTGGTAAATTATTGATATTGATGTTTTTAATGAATTTGTGAGAGTGCCAGGCACATGCTTATAGGCTGTCCTTCAGACAAAATAATGAAAAATATGTAATAAAGCTCCAGGAGTTAGATCTAAGTTAGATCTACCATGAGTAACTGCACTCATTTCTTTCTATTATTGCTGTATTGTGGTACTATGGTGATTATGAGGCCCACTGTTCGTCTCTAAGTGGAGACATTTGACTGCATAAGTACAAAGTTGTGCCAAACGCTACCTGAGTCATTTCCATACTTCCTCCTTCTCCCAGCTCTCAGAAGAGCAGGTGCTCACCTGAAGACAGCAACCAAAGGGGCGTAAATGGAGTCTCCATCGTAGACATACATATGGTCCCAGCTGCACTCAGTGGCAAAGTGATTGAAGCGCAGCCTGAGTACTGCATTAAGACTGCAGGGGAGAACAGAAAAAGATGAATACGTACTACCTATATGCTTCATATCTCCAATATTTATGAGGTCTTTGATCATATATCTGCACTTCAGGGCCTCACACATGTCAGGAAACCTTAGTTATCACTGCGTGTATTCACATAATGCAGCAGTTAATGGGCACAAAGCAAAAACTACAGTGAAAGACAAACTCCTATTTACTCTGCAGTAAAGATGTGTTCATCTGGAACCCTTTAGTCAGAGTAAAACAAACACGCACACAAAGCTTTATGTCAAATTAAGTTTGATTAATGATGACAGGAGCAGGATACTTACTGTCCTACTATTAGCCAAGTGCATTTGGTTTTGTACTTGTAGTTTACTGGTCCATCTGTGAGAAAGCCCGACACGTCTGTTAACCTGCAGGAAGATGTACAAAGGTTTAGTGTGATATACACTGATAATGATAAAATGTCACAGGCTCAAATTATACACTTAACCACCAGTGAGAAGCCAGGGTGTTTGTGCACAGACAAAATGTGGAACTGAAACTGTTGTTTCACTAAATTTGACCTCGTGACCCTCAAAACAAAGAGGTTGATTTTTTTAGATCAGTGAGGCTCTCCACCATTCATCATGAGCTGTCTTTGGAACTGGACTGAATATTTGATTTACCATTAGATCCAGTACGACGCATCCTCACACTGCGAAGAAGCAGGAGGAAGTGAACACTTGCCACTTTTGTCTTACTTCAGGCTTTTTCATTTGTAAGAACAGCCTCATTCCTTCATGGCAGACCCCACTAATATAACACACAGCCATCCTGACGTTTAACTTTGGGTTAATGTAGTTTCTCTTCTCTTTTAGTTTGACCAAAAAAACTCTGATGTGTTATTTTGTTATATTTCCAGTGACATGCCCAACATTTCTGAAACAAACTCTATACTAGTGTGCACTAATGTGCACTAGTGCGTCAGATGCAGAAATAAATACATCAATAGAAACACACACATTCATCAGTATATTGAATGTTCTCAGCCAACAGGGACAGACACATGTCAGACTGAGCCCGAAAACACAGGCAGCAGAGGAAACTGGCAAAACAATGACACCCCCTCATATCAAGGTAAGACGGCGCACGTTACTGTTGCCATAGCAATGCCAACAGGATATGTTGCAGTTGTAATATCCGCAGTGTTGGTGTGAGCGCATGTGTAAACAGCTGTCACACCTGTCAATCTAAGTAATCCCACTCTGCTGCTGCATAAAGAGAAACGGTGAAAATGAACACGCTGTCACACACGTCAGCGTCACAGGCAGTGACGACATCGCAGCCTGCCTCATGTTGAACAGACCGACTGTATGTGAGTGTGTGTCCATTGTCTAAGCCTGCAGTGTCACTGTAGGCTCTGTGGTCACACTGGCACGCTGCCAGGCCACACAGACTGTGAAACCAAATATTATTTTGTGTTCTGGGTAAGAAACAGGCCTGTAATATGTATTTATTTATTGTGCAGGCCAAGCTACAATGTGATTCACAGGGTTGAAACTAGATAAATCCAGGTACAATAAAACACAAAACAAGATAAGCTAGATAAGCTTAAATAAAATTTGACAGTGAGAAAATGAGGCAAAGTCATGAGCTAGTCAAGGTTGAGTGTGCTGCTTCATTAAAACATGACATATACCCCTGCACATACAGTATACTGTACACCCAGCTGATTCCTTGTGTTAGTCTGTGGCCACTAGCACGACACTCGCCGACTGTACCAGAACATCCCGTGAGCCTTGTTCACTGCTAACAGCCAGTGAACCATGACTAGTCCTGCTGCCAATGAGAAGCCAGAAATCTCCACCCTAACATCTGGGTGGTGCCTTGGAGGTGGAACTAGCAGACCCCGTCTCTGTTGTACCCCCGCCAGATAGTTCTAATGGATCACATGAGTGGCAGCTGCCCTCTGGTCCTTGCCACTGCTGCCTACAGTACCCTACCTCCGTGGCACCACTCACGTTGTGTTTACACATAACAGTCCCTCTAGGCAATGTGTGATTAGGTGAGTAAGCGTAACTCACATTCATTGATGGATTTACCTGCAAATAAATGGTTAGTTTTCACCGTTTGTTGCATTGATGTCACTGTGTTCCCAATGTTTAGAAAGGAATGATATCAAAAACTTCAAAAACATCCACATTTTAAGACAGTTTGTTATTTATGAAAATTCATCATGGGATCTAAAAGACAGCAGACTAGCCAGTCACAGAGCAACACGCCATCAGTCAGTGCATGAGTGTGTTGGGCCAAATGTTGTGGAGAGCAAACAGACTGCAGCACAGCCGGACTCAGGCCCTAGCGAATGCTAAAATCCTGCCAATAAAAAATAAACACATGCTGCACATATACATACAGTATAGGCATATACTGAGACATGAGAGGAGGTGAAAGATGTGGAATAAGACAGCTCTCAGGCTTTCTTGTTTTGTCTCTTCACTTTATCCTATCCATCTCTCCTGATCACAGTTTGATCCTCTGGCTCTAAAACATTCATGACATGCTGTTGTAAAGCTCGACTTAGAGATGATGATATTGAACGTAATGCTGAAAACGCTTCATCACATTTTTGGTTCTCACTGATGATGATGCATGAATATTGTAGATTTATACAATAATATTCACAAGATTGATTGTCCTTTGTCCAGTTTTATCACAGCCACCGTGTTATTAATGCGTACATTTCTCAAAATTCAGGCCACATTTCACAACCATTTTGAACAAGGTCATTTGTAAAACCCTTCACAAAGGGCTTTATAAGTTGAGAAGGAAGAGAAAGAAACTGAACGTAATGTCCTTATCTAGGACAGGAAGAAACTAAAGACCAAATGTATTACACACACACACACACACACACACACACACACTTCCTTTAACATTAAACACCACAGTCACCATTAGTCACAGGATAAAGTAACATATTGTACACTATGTGTTTAATGATTCTGAGCTGGATTCTCTCCAGTATGTAACTGGGAAAGCTCCTCTGGGTCCATTCAAAGGTGCCAAAGTGCAAAGAGTGTGAGTGAAAATGGAGAAATGCCAAGAGGAGGAGGAAAAAAGTAAATGTCTAATAAAATAGGAGAGGCTGTGGAAAAAAAATAAGAAAAAGTAAATGTCTAATAAAATAGGAGAGGCTGTGAAAATGTTTCAGGGCATTTTAAGATCTGTACTAATGCATGCACCTCTGGGCCATACAAAGCCTGAAAGTCCTAGACTTAAAGTAAAGCAGCTAAACTATAAGGCTATGCCAAGTCTACCGTCTTAACTACCACAGAGGTATTAGCCTAACTGCTAACAGGTAGCTTGCTGCCAGTAGCCACTGATGTACTGTGAGAGCTTCATATGGCAGGGCAGGTTTCATGGCCAGATGCAGCTCTGGAACATTAATATCCCTGAAAACAAACCATACACCTTTATTATAAAAGTCAAGGTCAGTTATTCATGTTTAACCTATGAACATCTAATAATGAATATATTCAGTATAGCAGCCATTATGTAATGTTTTTATGAAGACATTATAGATCATGATCCATTCATCCATTTCATATTCCCCCTTTTTCTTGCTGGGGGCTCGAGCCTATCCCAACTGACATCTGGTAAGAGACTGGATAATTCATTCCAGTGGGCAACACAGAGTCTTCACTTAACCAGAGCTGCATGTCTGTGGACTCTGGAAGGAAACCAGAGGCCCATGCAGATGCTGGGAGAACATGCAGAAAGTCCCAGCTGGTGGATGTTTCAAAGCCCAAACAATGCAACCCACTGAGCCTGTTTTCAGGAAGTTTTCCGGCTTGGTTATGATTATTTATTTTTTCTCCACAACTTGGCCAAACCCCACAATTAAAGTTAAACAGTAGAACTGGGGCAGAGATTTGATGTGGCTCTCTTCCCAGATTTCTTGGTTAAGTGAAAAAATCTGTGAGAGCAGAATGAATATGCAGAGACACTCTATGAAAACATGCAAAAGGAAGATCCCATCCTTAGTTAATGAGGAGCCCACTAGAGCGGCCTCCTACAGCGCCAGCAAACTCTCTTAAAACGCCTCTTCCTAAAGAAGCCTCGCATAGAAGGAGCCGGTAAGACAGCCTCACACTTTGTGCGCACACATGCAGGCGTGAGATGAGCACATAGGTTATAAATGGTGAGCAGAGACAGCAGGCTGTCTAGGAGTTCACAGCATGAGGCCACAGTCACAGCTTTCCACAGGAGGAGAATCAAGGTATACACACGCACACACACACTGTATGTGTAAACAGAAAAGAAAAGTGTGAGAGGGTGAAGGTTGCACAGGAGACACAAAGGCAGAGAAAGACAAGGGAGGAGACAGAGAGCAAAGAGTCCAGTACCCTTTGAAATATTCATCTGCTCTGGGTGAATAATTGATGGTGCACAGAAGACATGCATGAAGGATGGACAGGCAAATGAAAGGAAAGAGAGAAAGGGGTAGTGTACAGTTCAGTAGGTACAAATCTCCTGCTTCATTTTCTCTGTCATTCCTTCATAAAGCTGACCACAAACCCCAAGACCTGTTTTACGGCCTGCGCCTGCCCCCTCAGCAGTCGCACCAGCCTTTTAGTTCAGCTTGAAAGCAAAACAGTGGCACATTGGGCCACAGTGTGTGATTACTGGAGGAGGATACAGTGGATAAGGAGAGGATGAAGAAGCCACAGGAAGAGGGGAGGACAGTTAAAACATTCTCACAACTCAACTTACAGGCGTTCATCTTCATGTTCCTGTTTTCTGTCCTAACCTGAGCTCTTATAGCTTCACTTTTCCTTCTTCTTCTTTCATTCTCTTTCTGCTGTTTCTCTCAGTTGTGGTTGTTACATTACAGGCATTCCTTTGCAAGCTTGGGCCATCAGAGCAGCCGCCCTATCTCCCCAACCCCTCCTGGTTATTCGTTAACATTCAGATACTACAGCTCCCAGGGGTCTTTGCCAGAGGTTCTCACAGAAACAGGGCAAACTTTTAGTATCACACTAAACAGCCTTCCCATGGCTAAAGCAGCTAAATTTAATGGGCTTTAATGGAAACAGCAATAAAATCAAATTACCCTGGTCTTAGCTTTTAATGTGTAACAGCAGCGATGTGTCCAGACAGTGTGTGGTGACAGCGACTGAATTACTAAACTAAAGTTAAGCAGACAGTCTGCTTCATGTAAAGAAGACAATAAAGTGATGAGTAGAAGTGACAGAACACCGTGTCGTACAGGATGCATGAAAACAGCCAGACATTCACTGACCACTGGGCTGCACAACAGTGTGTGACACATTCAGAGACACATAATCAAAAACAACCACAGTCTCACACACACAACCACACGTACAAAGACTTCCAGTGACAGCGTCTAGTCATCTGAGAGTGACCT